CATTATTATACACATTTTATTATGGGATTAATTAATAATGAACATATAATTATAGGATTAAAAATTATTTGATTAATGGCAAACATATAAAATCAATAAATTCAATTTAAAATATTATTAATAATATGTGTGCCACATTTTTATTATTATTTAATTGTTTATATTTAGTAAAATACCTGTACTGTACAGTTTTTAATATAAAAATACATAAAAAATTTCATACAGTTCAATTTAAATATATAACAGTTTATCGTCATACCTATAAAAAATTGTTATTTTAAGCTTTCAAATGATATATTAAACATGTGATTTTGTTCAATTGTTGTAGCAGTTAAATTAGTGCAAAGACTTTTGTTACACACTGTATATATATATATATTTAGTTATTTCTATTTTTGTATGGTTAATTAATTAATATCTAAGAAATAAATATAATATAATATAAAAGGAAATATGATAAATAATACATGGAGCGATTTCCCAGATCGATTATCACTTGTGAAATCTGTGTTAACCTAACATGCGAAATTTAATAAAGATAAAGGTAAATAAGATAAAAATAAAAAATAAAAGTAAAAATCAATTAACTTAAATTATTACCTTTTCCTCATACCAGCGAGGCCTATTTACATGGACAAAGCTTATTGGTTCGGTCTGTGATTGTGATCGTTTCACAAATTTATTTTTATCACGTTCATCCGTGGTAGGATCTTCATTAATCAAATAAGAATCGATATACAAACTACGAGACTGCAACGTGATCGTTCCTTTGGCAAATGGTTCCTTAACATTATCCAAACCCGACCCATTCTGATCCGAGTTGGGCATCGGATCTTCATAAAGTTCCACATGAAATGTGCGACCTCTTCGAAAGAAAAAAGAATTATCAAACTTTTCTGATTTGCTTGGATCTCCTGAAATGGTTGCATAGCAACTTCATTGACGTCAGTGATGTGAACGATGACTCCATTTTTTCTCTGAGTTGATGTCAATTCGCCAGAGGTGAGATCAAGTTTAACACGGTCAGCCGAAAGTTGGATGGATGGGAATTTGAGGAGCATATGGTCAATGTGCAACTCTTGTTCTGTACCATAAATATAGAATGGCATGTGACCTTTAGGGTAATTGGCATCTTGGAATCTTGTGGCTAGGTGACGTTTCTTGAGCACTCGGACGTTGGTCACTTGAAAATCATTGATCAATACAGTAGGTTTTCTAAGAAATAAAGAAAATGTTAACATTGAAAGAAAAGAATAGTAAGATTGAAAGATACATACTTGGTCTTTAGATCAAAATCCCTGTAAATAACCCCTCTAAAAGAACTTCCATCGCATGCGATATCATCTAACTTCATCATATCTTGATTTCCAAGAAAGTACACATGTGATGGATTCGTTTTACGAGCCTTCAAGTATTGATGCTTTATATCTTCTGGTAAATCTGCTGTGATGATCACCTGCTGACGGTGATTTTTCATTTGAAACATGGGCAAATGTGTTAAATAGAGCTTGTCAATGCCTTGTATAACGAATGCATAGAAATGTGGTTCAACTTTATTACGCTTGATTGAAACCTATAATGTAAATGTTTAGCGCATCATATAATATTCAAGGGGTGACTTGTACGGAGGAATGGTCGTGATCAGTAAAGTTGAAGTTACCTTAACGGAGTCCCGTAAAGTTTCTTTAAATGTTTTTGTCAGTTCACTGATGAAATCAAATTCGGTAACCCAGGGAGACGTGACAACATTGATTAGCACGTAAAGGTCCTGGTCACCCTTCAGGCCAAGACGATTCTTAAAGTTTGACAGGCAACCTTGGTAATTTTTCTTATTTAATTGTGAGGAGGTTAATATTAGTGGTTTATCCTCATTTGTTCCTTTGAAAGTAGTGTACGAAAATTTTTCGAATAGACGTCGGTTGAGATAATTTCTTCATCGATATCCTCATTTATCTTGCCATCCACTTTGAAGTTGCATGCAAAGGTGTTAACCGTGAGATCAGGACCAAGATCCTTAATAAGTTTAATGGCATCTTCATTATTTATGATTTCACTATTTGACTTTCCAACAATGAGTTTGCGGATATCTCGTTTCTGCTTCTCAACTTTTTCTGGATTCGGTGGAGAACACTTCTCTGCGGGAAGCATAATTAAGGGTACAACGATGAAGTCATCTTCTTCAGTCGACATGGTAGCCCAATGACAATATATCTATTAGAATCATAATGAAATAAATTATGATTATAGAAAAGAAAGCAATTTAACATTATATATATATATACAACAATAAAATAGCTACCTTTGAGCATGAAAAGTTCACTTGCCCCAACAATAGTCCATAACCTTTCTGATGGAGGCCAATGATTTCATGAGAAAGCCAAGCAGCTACCGGAGCTGCACCTGGTTTACTAAATGAACAAAAAAGTAAGAACTAACTATTGAAAAAAGACAAAAAAAAACCAATGCTTATGTTTTCAGTTCTCTTACCTTCCTTCCACGCCATAAACGCCGATGCTTAGTTCATTTGTCCGAAAGACGACCGGACTTGTCCATGTATTCAAATATCTCATGCGTTGATCACGATAACATAGGCCACCGGCTGGATAAGGAATATAGCCGCTCTTATGTGGATCAATAGTAATAGAATCGCTATGTTTCAGACTATCCAGATGTTTTTTGGTATAAGGATTTAGCGCTAACAAAGGTATAAATGAATCTCTTTCTTGTTCAAGACCTTTTCGACGACGAGTGTAGTCAGGACCGGGGGGTGGTTTAACAAGAATAGAACGGAAATAACCACCCCATGCGGCATCCGCGTGAATTACAAAACTGAGTCCATAATTACGTTCATACTTTTCTCTAAGCTTTACGATATCATCCAACGGGTCACAAGCACCATGTTCTGTTGATCCCATAATCGCCACCACAGCGTAGACGGCCTGTTTTTTATTGACACATTCTAAGAGTAATTTGTCAAGCTTTTTTACATCCATTCGTGCCGCATTATCTACTGGAACCGATAACAAATTCTTCGAACCAATTCCCACAATGGCTTTAAATAGATATGAATTAATAATATTGTCTATTAGGTATGAACAGTGTACGAAGGAACAAATGTCCAAATGCAACCTCTCAGAAAAAATTCAAAATCAAATAATAGTACTCACCACAACCCTTAGGCCATGAATAATGCATGGTTGTACTTGCAAAATACACGCTAGGTTCTGTAATATTAAACTTTCTTTCTAAGTAATCCTTTCCAACGGTCTGAATAGTGTATTCTTTAAGAGAGCCCTGCAAGAATTGAGGAGTAATTCCATATTCACTGTACAATTGGTCAGGTATATCAAGAACGGTGGTTGGCTTAAGATTTAACAATTCCCACGTAGAACACTCCTTAAGAAGCTTCTCCTTGGAATTGGCTAATTCAACTTTGAAACTTGAACCGATGAAGGATAAAGGACCATTATCATTGAAAGCCAGGCGGAGGGAGAGAGGGTAAAATTTAAGATTACGTGCTATTTTTAATAATGAAATTAAAAATAAAATGGAAATTAAAATAAAATGGAAATTAAAGTAAAATGGAATTAAAAATTGTGAAATAAATAAATAAATTCAAACTACTATTAAGATTTTTACCTGCCCTGTAAGTATATAAAAAGCCATACAAGATGGGTGTATCCTAAGATTTTGTTATTTGAAGTAAATGTATAAAACGTATGTCATTTAACAATAATAACATACCAAATTGATTCCAAATTTGCTACCGAACCATCACAGGTAATATGACCCCATCCTTGGATTTCATGCAATTCAGTTGAAATATAATCCAGTTTTTCTATATTATAAATATTCTCGTTTTCATGCCAGTAAACATTAAAACCAAGCATTTCACATAATTGTTTTCCGACAAATATTTCGAGCAAAGTTGTTAATGGAGAACCCTCAATAGAACAGTTATTTTGATTGTATAGCAGGGCGGCCACGTAGCCAAGGTTTCCCGCCATAGTTGACTCCATACTCATGTGCCCCATATAACGTGGCGACCAAAACGGTATAGTCTTTTTGACAAGTTTATTTGAGAGTTCTGCAAGTACTTCTCGTAGGTATTCCATACTTGAATTGTATTCGACCGAATCCCGAATTTCATTTGTGATAAAATAGGGATCTTTCGGATAATATTTATCACGCCGCGCTTCCACCTGTTTATCGGTGATCTCTTCCAAAAATTCACGGAAAAAATAACAGTTCTCAGCGCGTGGACCGAGGAACCAAGAAGCGACTGCATTGTTTTCTTTGTTGCAAAAATTTTCCATCGTTTTGTGTGTGTAAAATCAGAAAATTGAAAATTTCATTTTTTTTAATTGTCAAATTCAGGATCATTTATAATAGAATAATTTTTAATTTTTTTAAATAAAATACCTTTTTCTAAATTAACAATATAATTTTAAATAATAATCTGAAACAATTAAAAAATGATGTTTAATTTAATAATTTAAAGATCATTATGTGCGTTGCGTGAATCACCTAATAAGAAATTAGAATGAATCAATTAATTATCTAAAGTGGGAGTTAATCCTTGATATTTATTTTTATTAATTATTATAAAGAACAAATATTTATTATAAACATACAAGAAAAGGTAGAATTTTATTATTATTGTTATTATTATTTTATTAACTATTATTAAATTTTTAAGCTTTTTAAATCTGACAGATAAATCCGTTATCGGATAAATCAGATACTTAATTTATTAGTCAATAAAACTTATAATAATATTTCAATTTTTTTTTAAAAAAATAAAATTTAAATATAGTTTTATTCATCCACTTTATTATTATTAGCTAATAAAAGATGGATTGGATAATTATTTAAATATAAATAAAAAGTTGAATCGTTAACTTGAAGAATTCTTTTGAATGAAATTATTAGTAATTATTTATTTTTTTTTTTTATTTTAATAATAAGAAACCAGAATAAAAAAAAATCAATATAAATACACAAGTTTTTCAGTGTTTAATTTTTTTCAATTATCTTTTTTTTTTAAAAAAAATAAAAAATAAAAATGCCCGCTCATCGAAACATTCACTGAGAATTCAACAAAAAATAATTTTGTTGTGACTGCTATTGGCAACATGGAATACATTACAAATAAAATTAAATCCATTACGTATATCAAATTTAATAGATATCTTAAATGGAAAAATTCAAAATAAAATGAAATCGTGAAGTGGTTTAAACAAAAAACTAATTTACCAAAAAAAATTACAATTATAATTAGTGCTTGGGTTATGTTTTTAAATAACTCTGCTCTGAATATAAACATGGATTAGAATAAAGCCAGAAACTAATAAAAATTCACTAGACAATATTAAAAAAAAAAATAATTATATTTATTAATCTATTTAAGATAATAATAACATTAAATCTATCACCTCGCTAAAATTTATTGGTTCAGATTATAATTAATATAACTGTTATACGTTTCATAATTTTCATGAAAAGTTTTGTATTAATGCTGAAATATGCCTAATTATAAATTTACTGCAAATTACATAATATGAAAATAATTTGGAAAAAAAATAATTTAAACCTATATTTCACATTTTTTTATGATAGTTTATTGCTTCCCGGTGTTTCAATAATAACTAAATTTTGTCTGTTTTCCGTTCGTCTAATTCTACGAACAATAAATAATATAATGAAAATACAAGAAACCAAAAATGCTGCACCTATTCTTATCCCAAGTCCAATTTTCAGAGATTTTGATGACTTTTCTGCAGGGGGATAAGTAATAATTGGTTCATTAGTACTCAAAGTAGTACTCAGAGCAATACTCAAAGTAGTACTTGAAGTAGTGTTTGAAGTAGTAGTTGTAGTCGTTTTATTATCAGGTGGTCTCAAAGAAAACCTGTAACAAGAATTTTAATGATTATAATCCGATGTTTTATTTTATTTTTATTATAATTATTAAAAAACATTTTTTTTATTTTTTTATTTAATTTTTTTAAAAATTCAATAGTAGCATGCCAAGTATATTCACAAGTACAATTCTAACTTCATTAATAATGATCCTTTAATATTTTATATATTTATTATTTTCGTTCTTATTACTCTTAGAATATAACAATTGACACAAATATATTAGACCCCCCTGTTTCTTCAGCTACAAATGTAGACTCACCTATTTCTAAAGAAATAACTCCTAGTCAAAAGAACAATTTAGTTTTCAATATTAATCATCTGCTTGAGTTATCAGTACAGGAATTTGATAATAATTGGTGACAACTTGTTTCAAATGTTTGAACAGTGTTTAACTTCAAAAAAGAAAATAAATGGTGATTCATCACAATGTCGTTTAGCAAAATGCACAATTTTTTCACAGACTTTTTCTTTAAATCATGAATATATCTGCCTTTCTTTTTTTTTATTATCTTAGTAGAAAATTTCCTGTGCCTCAAAACTGCAAGCAAAGTCGAAAAACGGAAAAAAATACAATTTTACACAAGTGTTGAGATTTTTGCTGATTAAAATTTCCTTATGTACTTAAGAAGTAACTATCTTCAGTCTGTGTTTGTAGAAAAATTGAAATTTTAGATTGTCATTATGATGTGTTTTCTTATTTAAATGACCATTGTTCCTATGGTAAAAGAATTTTTCCTTCTATTTTTTACTTTTTATTTTTTCCATTTCCATTTTATTTCTATTTCTATTTCAATTTCAAATATACAGTTGAACCTAGTGTTCTGATCCTTAATCTGATAAATCCTGATGGATCCTATAATCTGAATTTATTTATTTTAAAAAGGATTTATTCAAAATAAAAACGGATTAAAGATACGGATCATCTGGATCATTATTCAGATTATATATAACATTGCACATGTGACAATATTTTTATTAAATTTAAATAATTGGCGAATCTTGTATAATGTCAAGATCTAGATTATTATTAAAATCCATTTAATAATATTTCTAAATTTTAAAAATAAAAATAAATTTAAATTAAGGATAGATCCTAAAAAAAGAATAGATCTTAAAATAAAGATAAATCATCAGTAAATTTTTTTTTAAGAATTAACCTTTGAAATATTTTCATTTGTTTCAAAGGATTTTTTACATTTTTCAACTTTGCTCAAGAATTATAAAATGTAGAGCAATTTTCTACTAAGGTATTTCTAAGATATAAAGAAAGACCTTGTTCTTGACTACATAAAAGTATGTGTTTCATTCCAATAGTATTTATATTTGTGGAGGTTATTTTAGTTTAAAGAAAAAATGTCTGTGAAAAAATTGTGATCCAAATTTTTTGCATAATTTTTTCATGGATGCTTTTATTTAAACTAATAAGAGTTTAGGATTAAGGATATTTTTATTTAATTATTGGTTTTTGTATTTAATTATTTATAATTTCTTGTCTATAAATTTATTAAAATATAAGGTGTTTTTATTTATTCAGGTTATTGATTTTTGTATCCAGTTAATAATGAATAAATAATAAATTTTTTTTTTTTGTGAATTTATTTTATATTATGCTATAAATGTATTAAATTTGCTGATGCTATTGTTATATTTTTCTCTTAATTTTTTATATTCAATAATTACATTTGGGTTAATTTTGATTGAATCCTTATTTTTTAAAAAAAAAATTTAATTCAAAATTTAATTTTTGTTTTAATTTAAAATTTTCAAATTTTTTTAAAAAAAAATGAAATTGTAATTTTTGAAATTTTCTTTTTTTTTAACATTTTATTTTTCATACAATTTTTTTTTGCTTTTTTACTAAGCATTTTAGTAAAAATTCTTTTCACTTATTTGTATTCTATTAATATTGTATATATTAGTCATAATTATAATTATTGTATCATAAACAGATAATTAATTAATTAATTAATTATTTATTTACCTTTTTTCGATATTCTATTTCAAGTTTTCTTTTTTAATGTCTTAATCAGTGTTAACCTTGGTTTACCTTCTAAAGAAACCAAAGAAAACTAAGTGACTGGTAGTGGAAATTATATTTATGGACTTTGAACACTATAACAAATAACTACAGTCGGACAGGTGTTACTATTAATAAAGTAATATTAAGAAGGATTTGGGTAAGGCGGATTTGGTCGAAAGAGGCTAAGGTGTGAGGTTTTATAAGAGATTTACTAGCTAAGTCACAAAGACAACAAAGTTTCACCAAGAAACTAAACAAATTCACGAAAAACTTAATAACTTA